TTCGATGTGGCGTGACCTTTGATCCATCTTAAGGTGGCCACATTGTTGATGGATACTTCGGCCAAAGCTTCGTGACATTCTAGTACTAACCCTGAGTAAATTCGTGGTCTGTTCAGGGTGAGTAGTGCTTGTCTGCTATCTGTAAAGGGGGTATATATTATTTATAAAAAATTCAATGGAATAAAAATGTACAGTGCTGACAAAATCAAACTTTCGATCCTGCTTTACTTGAGTTAATAATAAATGTAGACGTTCCAGTGATATTATAGCGTTACCTTTTTACGTTTTTCAACATTACTGGAAGCTGGAAGTTTCTAAAAAGATGTATTTATAACAAACTAGGTGTGGCATTCCTGTTATATCCAGGAAAGCCTTTTTTACTTGTGGATGTTGTTATAACGCCCATAAAATACAAATGTAACGTTCCAAATAGTCTTCCTGCCTTCTTATTATACTCTTCACGCAGTAGTCTATGCAGAGTTTTATAGGTTTAGTTTCGAGAAATCAAATTTTTTAATATTGATCCAAATTTAAAAATTTTTGTACCAAATTTCTTCTCATCAACTTTTAAACAACTTTTAAAAATGTCATAACCGTCTCATATCACGTTTTTTGTGTAAAAAACAAAAAATGATATCAAACCATATGTTATTGTAATGGTTAAAAAAATTTGTAATTGGAAATTAAAGTTTTTTATATGCTTACCTAATGTCCCTGGTCAACAAATCCAACCTTTCACATACACATAATAATATGTTTACATGCAAACAAATATTAAAAAACAATGCCCAGATAACAATTATACATTCTTAGCATATTCTTAGTATATACTTTTTAAGAATACGCATATGCTGAGAATATACTGTATTTGCATTTGGTACATTCTCAGAATATGCTAAGCATATGCTACGTGACGTTGTTTATACGTGCAATGCAGATACCGAGAATGTACTTCAAGTATGTGTACAGTATGCTGTATGCAACAGGTATCTACTTTAATTTGATAGTACGTTCTAAGTATATGCTAAGTATTTAAATATAACATATGCTAGGCATATACTAGACACCTTAATACAGGATGTTTAATTAATATTGAACATTAAAGAATAAGTGTATATAATGAGTCTTTATTTCAAAGAATTCATACTTTTATTACAAATACTATCTTTGGCCTTAACTAATCAATATTTTATTGTATCAATGGCTTGAGTTTCATTTGCTTGATTCCATTGGATCTTCATTGAACCTAAAAAATAAAAAAATTAACAAACTTGGTACATATACAAATTAAGTGTACATAGCTAATGAAATATTTTAAATATTTTTGTCGAACATAAAACATTAAAAATGGCATTCCACTAATAAAAACAAGAGTTACATAAATGATTATGATGTTTACTGAAAGTTTAAATATACTTTTGCTAAATACTTACCACCATTTTGTAGTTTTCGTCCTCCTTTAGCTAACTTTTCTAGTTCCTCCAGGTCAATATCTGGCCTTACAGGATTTTTTTTTATAGAAAGTGTGTATGTAATTCTGTTAACACTGTATTTTAGTTTCAATCCACCATTAGCATTAACTACATTAATAAATTCACACTGGCAATTAATATTTGGGATATCCTGTATTCTAACGTCACTTATAGGCCCTAAAAACTATAAATATAGTAAAATTTGTTTATTTTCATATAGAACATACCATGCAATTAATTTTTATTAATTGACATACCTCTTACAAACAAACGAGATCAAAAAAATTTGTAGGAATTGTAGGTTATGTTATTCTTCTTCTTTTCTTCTATTTCTATTTTTGTTTGAGAATGTTTTTTGACCTAAACATTCAACATTAGTGCGTTTGGTAGCGAATTATTAGATCGGCATCTGGGAAAAATTCATATAGATATGTATATAAACTTGTTTTTACATGTACTTGGTGTTAATTTTGCAAGCATTTAGAATATTCTCAGAATATGAAGTACATGCTGCGTATATGACTTTTAGTATCTTCTAAGAATGTCCTGTTATAGCACGTGCTCAGTATATACTTTTTAGAATATACTTTTAAGGCACGTACTCAGTATATACTTTCTAGAATATACTTTCAAAGTATATTCTAGGTATGTTCTAAAAACATTCTAAAATGATATACTAAAAAGAACTTAAACAGAACGTTCTTGGTATATTCATAAAACATTGATGTTATGTGGGTGTACCCAATGTTTCTATCTGGTCCATTAAAATTGCTATTTGCGTATTTTTATGTATAATACAAATTAAATAAAAAAGTGAAAATTGAGAACAAGGGTGCGACAAATTAATTTCTTTAAAAATATTAATAAGTTTTTGGTATAAATCGTTTTGTGTGCAGAGTTGTTCAATTTTTATTTTTTTTTTTTTAACACAATTTTCCGTTGACTGTCAAATTGCTATAAATCTGTATGTCTATACAAAAGGCAAAATAATGTACCAGAATCATTAATTTCCTTAATATTTGCATTTGCGTAATTACCGACACTTCTCTTGATGTCACATGTCTGACCATAGATAAAATAACAACAAGTAGTTCAGAAACATTCCCGATTGAGAAGCCAAATGCGCGGTAACGGATGCGCAAACTTTTCTTTTGATGTAAAATAAGTAGCTGGTATTGAATAAGCTGTAGCCATACTGTTTGCTATTGTTATAATGTGTAAAGGGAGAATAATTCAAATATAAGATAAAATACAGAATGATCCATTTAAAAAATATACGTTTGTTCCAGACTGTGTTATAGAACGGCCTCTAGGTTCGAAAATAATTTTAAAATATGGAGTTTAATGCTACCTACCATTCTGTAAATGTTTTTCTTTTATATATCTAATTATGCCAGATATATTGGACTTTTTCACATGTGATATATATTTTCCTACCTACCTACATTATTTTGTTTCGTATATTCTGTTTTACAAAAAAAAATAATAATCATTATGACATCTTCCAGGACGCTTTAAGTGAACTACTCAACTACGTCCTTAGAGAATTTGACGATACTGATCGAGTAGGGATCGTAATAAAACATGAACAACAAAGAGATAAGAAAGCCACATTTCCAATACGATTGAAAACCCATTTGGAATCTGCCATCATTTTAGACACGCTACACTCAATTCTTAGGTTAAATAGATCCATTACGTCCGAAGAAAGAATGACTTTGCAAGTTGTTAGAATACGCTTGCCACAGATTTATCGCCAGTTGAATCAAGAACACCTTACGACAGTCGACGATATTGAATTTTTCAATTTTTAATAGTATTTATTTTTTATAATTATTGTACTAATAAAATTTAAAAAAATTGGTTTTTTTTTCTATTTGTTATCCTTACGATGTTTTGGGATTCTAAGCAGGGCCAATTTTTAGTAAGTAGATAGACTACTAGTTAGGCAACCATTTTAACAATGTACTCTGTAATAGTTCTTCCAATTCAAGTGCTCCAGCAGAAAACCGAATCAAAAAACGAAAATATGTACACGTACACCACATTCTTGTATGTGAACTGTACAATAATCTAAATTTATTAACTTTTCTTTCAATTATCAAAAGCATCAATTTTTGCTAACAAACTGTCAAAATCCGTTAAAAACCATACCGATGCTGTTTTTGAATATCGGAGATTGTATATTATTCAACGTTGACAAATGTAACGAAGATTATATTTATAATTTCCCATTTGTATGATAGTCACTAAAAAATAGCTCATTGTGTAATAAGAATGGAAAGTGCAACTTTGCCGCTTGAGATAAAAATTTATCATAAGCGATCAATAGCCGTCCGTTCTAATTACACACAATATTTTTTCTACGATCACACGATATATTACCAAATTCAAATTTTATCACAATAATGCAAAATCAAAGTATATGCAATAATGTTTATATGACAGGTGAAGCCACTGAACTATATATTAAACTGGAAGAACAAAGCCCATCAACAAAATCAAGCCGCATAGTGAGGTGATATTTGACACTGTGGCGCCTATACGTGCGTATCGAAATGAACTAAAAAGGAACATCAAAATTAAATTTAACACTAATTACATTCAACTACGACACCTTTTAATTTAAGAAAATCACTTAAAAATTATTTTTGATTAATACGCAGCTGAAACAAATATTCCAATAATTAATAATTATTAAAATAGCGCGTCACTAATAAAAAATAATATAACTTATCGGAGTACGCACGTGGAAAACGTGACGTAGGATGCTCGAAATTGACAGTCGGCGTCCAAATCTTGTCCAAATTGTCATGCGGCACCGACCATTTTTTTCACCCATGTCGGCTTAGAAATTAGGAGTAGGGTTTATGCACATACTTTTTCTTTTACTATACGGAGAATGGTCGCACTGCGCAGGTTTCTGAGTGCCTTTTAAAAGGAGATAGAAAACTCCGCCATTTTGATCCCTTATTACGTGTTGCCTACATCTTGGCGCAATATTTTTAATAGGTGCATTTTAATCTTCTGCTTCGGAATTGTCGGTTTTCTTGTTTTAATCTGACAGGTTAAAATTAATTAATTAATTTTCAATTAACTATTTCTTTAGATATTTAGATAACTATTTCTTTAGATATTTAAATTTAAATTGGAACCCGGAACTTATTGGGGCATTATAAAGATTTTTAAATTTTCATAATCATTATTTCCATACTTTCTTAGTTATTTCACACAAATTGGCAACATTCGTTAATATTTAGTAATCGGCTCGCATTTGCATGACCTATAAAGAAATGTCAAAAATCACGTGTTGGTTAATAATAAAATTGCGTACGACATTTACACTAGGTTACACTCATTTCTTAAATTCAGTATTCAAAAAGTCATTTAGTGTACATTGGAGTAAATACTTAAACTAAGTATTTGGCACTTGAAAAATAAATATTGAAATGTGACTTTTCTGTCCGATGTGCTTTTACCATGTTTTTAAAATAAAATTTGCATTTCAAATTTACCAACCACCGAGAAATGTCTGCGAAAGACACCACACTGGAAATAGAGCACGATGATCCTAAATTCAGGACAACTCCATTGCAACAAGCAGCTGCTTCCTGTACAGGGGCCATCATAACATCTTTAATGGGTAAATTTGTTCAAATTCAAATTTATATGGATTATTTTGAATTAAGTTAATGTATTTTCGTAGTGACTCCTTTGGATGTCGTGAAAATTCGAATGCAGGTCCAGAAAAAGGCCGCGCAAAATCAAACCAAGTGTTTTTTATATTGTAATGGTTTGATGGATCATTATTGTAGTTGTAACCCTAATGATCCAAATAGTAGGTGGCTGCAGCGACCGAGCCAGTTTACAGGGACACTGGTAAGTCTATTTATTTCACTGTTTCTATAAGTTTAATAAAGTTATTCTTATGTTATTTAAGGATGCTTTTATTAAAATTAGTCGTACTGAAGGAATAAGTTCATTATGGAGTGGTCTAAGCCCTACTTTGATGTTAGCAGTGCCTGCCACCGTAGTATATTTTGTAGTATATGAACAATTAAGGACTAGATTTAAAGATAGGTACAATATAGATAAAAAAATAGATGACACAAAGGTGCAACCGTTTTGGATACCATTGGTGTCTGGGGGCATTGCTAGGATTATATCTGTATCCATAGTTAGTCCCCTGGAATTGTGCAGGACTAAGATGCAATCACAGAAGCTTAGTTATTATGGTAAGTGAAATATGTAAAAATATTTTAAATATATCATTATTTGTTTTCAGAATTAAACCAGGCATACAAATCTTTATTAAGGCAAAGCGGTATTAGGGGTTTATGGAAAGGCATTTTTCCAACTTTGTACAGAGACGTCCCATTCTCTGCCATCTATTGGATGAATTATGAAACTATTAAAAAATTATTGGCTGAAAATGAAAATATTCCTCCATTTTGGGTCAGTTTTGTGGCTGGTGGTATATCAGGTTCTGTAAGTTATTGTGCTACAAACTATACTATTACATCTGTATACTAAAATGTCATTTAAAATTATATATTGTTGATCATATTTAACACAGCACCAGTTTAAGCTCAATTTTTTTTTTTTCGTTTTACCCAGGCAATGTGTGTCAGTTTCTTTTTAAATCCAGCGAGTCTATGAACATGTTATATTGTCCTTAATGTGAAGTTTATATAACACTTGAAGCCTTCAATTTGGAAGAATCAAACTCACACTTTAAGTATTATTATTCTTTATTTAAACCAAATCGTGAAAATATTTTTATGGTAACTTGACTAGTCAAAGATTGCATCACAAAACACTCTAGCCATTTTGAATAAGCATCAACAAAAATAAAAAAAAAATTATTTAAAAATGGCCCACAAAAATCTATGTGTACCCAGTCGAAGGCTTTTTCAGGCCATTTCCATGAAGATAACTTAGCTTTTCGAGGAGATGGACTAATTAAGCCACAAATTTCACAATTTTTTACCACATTTTCTATTTGTTTATCCATTTTGGGCCACCAGAAATAACTTCTAGCAATACCCTTCATTTTGACAATTCCTAAATGTGTTTGATGAAGTTCCTGCAAAATTCTCTTTTGTAATAACTTAGGAATAATTATTCTGTTATTCCACACTAAGCACTCATTTTCAACTGAAAGTTCATATTTTTTTTTTAATACATCTTAAATTGTTCATGTTTCTGGGCAAAAGAAGGCTAACTACCTGTTTTTTCACATCCTCGTCGCCAATTTGTTATATTGTCTTTAATGTGAAGTTTATATAACCCTTGAAGCCTTCAATTTGAAAAAATCAAACTCACACTTTAAGTATTATTATTCTTTATTCATTTACTGTTAATACAAGAATTATGTCTTTTTAGTACAGTACATACCTATCAATGTACCTAGGCGATAACAAATCAACCAAAGAAATAAATAAATATCCCAGTGGCGTACCAGTAATATTTACAATATACAACAGAACATTTGACACTAATAGTGACCATGTAATGGCAAGTTTTTAATCTCATCGATGGAGGCAAATAAATTCCATGCTAAAATGAAACTTATTGCAAACCTAAAGTTTTGACATTAGAATCCTTGTCCTTATACATTTATACATCTTCTTTGTTAACTGTAATAGTACATAATGATACGAATGTCGACGAGCGCACCTGAAAGCTATAAAGTCGCCACTATCTACTGCCCTTAAACATCTGCAATTAAGAACAGGCATAATATTTAATAAAGTCAGTTCTAGAACGTAAACGATCTACGTATGCTCAGATGTCAAAATAAGAGCTGTGCTAATAGTGGCTGGCCTTAAGTGAACTTGCAATATCTCTAATAATTATCTTAGGTTTTTTAGACATTTGAGAGGTTACAACAAGAAATTATACATTCAAGATGGCAGTATTTTTCATTAATAATAATATACAGAATTAAAATTTCACATTTGATAATTTTGATAAGTATTCATTAATAGTATATGGCTCTGAGGTCACACAAATATTTAATTAATGATTTTTTAATTTTTTTAAAATGTTGATTTGTTTTTAAGTGAGATGGAAGATAATTTATAATTTGATGCAAATATAAAATGGATTGTTTTTCTGTCAAAGATAATTTATAAGTGGTTTTTTGTTGTTAAAAATATTTAATAGAAAGCAGGCATAAAGAAATTTGCTGCTTTTAACTTAAAGCTCTTTTTTTTGTAATTTGAAAATGTTATCTGCTAGAAAAAAATTAAGTATATTATCCTTAGAAAATAGACGCAATCTTTCTGTAATGGGTTTTCTAGACAAAATTAATAGTAATATCAACTCCCTGGAACTTTTGTCATTAATTAGATATAATGTTCCAACTAGAAACACGGTTTATACATACAGTGTGGTGATAGAGTAAGGAACAAAATTCATAATTTAATTATTTAAGGTTTTCAAGCAAAACGCTCGGACGGTTCAATTTTAATATTTAATTAGCCACCTTATGGCATCCACATTTTATTTATGACGTCATGTATTTTTGCACAATGACGTCATAATTGGTTTTTTAAATGACAACTCTATGTTTTTGCTGTTTTTAATAGATGGTCCAATTACTTAAATGATGGTGCAAATGTTCAAATTACTCTTCTTTAACCATTTGGCATTGACCGATATGAGTGTAAACACTTTTTTTTGCAAATTATCATTATCACGTCTGAACACTTTTGACCGATTTACAAATATTCGTAAATTTGACTTCACATTAGTTAAGTGTAAAAGGCACATTTAGCAAGTTTTTTAATAGCAAATTCTCTTTGTGGTTAACAAAAAAATGCCACGTTTAACTGAACGGGAAAGAATAGAAATTTTAATAATGGTTGGATATGGTGATAAGTTAAGAACACATCAGGAAACATGTGAATTATTCAACCAAGAACACCCTGATAGACTGCCTATTATAAGATCTACAGTAAGTAAATTGGTTACCAAATTTACCGAAACGGGATCCGTCCATGATTCGCCTCGGGAAGGTCAGTCTCCAGTAAACGATGAAACCAGATTAAATGTGTTTCTCGAAGCTGAAGAAAATCCTCACCATTCTGCAAGGCAGCTAGCCCTAAATAATAATGTGGACCCACTCTTTTGTCATGAGGTTGTTCAAGAAAGAGAATATCATTCTTACAAGGTTCAATTGATTCACGATTAAACGAGGATGATCCAGACCGTCGCCTGCAGTTTTGCAAAGAACTAATGTTACGCTGCGATGGAGACCCCAATTTTTTAAATAATATCCTCTTTTCTGAGGAAGCCACTTTTTGCAGATATTGGTCAAGAGAAAATTCTCACTGGACTCAAGACTCACAGTCAACGCCAAGGAAAATTCTCACTGGACTCAAGACTCACAGTCAACGCCAAGGAAAATTAATTGTTTGGATTGAAATAATCGGTCAGCTTTTAATAGGGCCTTACTTTTCTTACTTTTACAGCAGCACGGTATTTGGCCTTTTTGCAGTTTGATTTAGTTCCAGCTCTGTCAGTTATGTTTCCAAATGATCACGAAGCAAATGTACCCCTCCAGAATATTTGGTTTCAACAAGATCGGGCATCTCCCCACTTTGGAATAACCGTCCGTCAATATCTTGGCGCCACATTTCCCGGAAAGTGGATAGGACGTCGAGGAGCAATTGAGTGGCCACTGCGTTCCCCAGACCTGACTCCCTTAGATTTTTTCTGTGAGTTATTTAAATTCAAAGGTGTATTTTAATAGGCCAAATAATTTAGATGAGCTACGGCAAAGAATTCACGCTGAAGTGGAGCACATTACACCTGAAGTCCTTGAGCGAAGTGTACAAAGTGTTTACACTCGTATTGGTCAGTGCCAAATGGTTGAAGGAGAGCAATTTGAATATTTACGCTAAATTTTGTTTGTTTTTGGGGTGTTATTAGGAGATTATTTCATTAAAGTTTAATTTTGATTTCTTTCGGTAAGTTATTTTTTAAAAATAATTGTTATTTAAGGTGTCAATTTTTTTACACCATCATTTAAGTAATTGGACCATCTATTAAAACAGAAAAAATTAGGGTTGTTATTTAAAAAACCAATGATGACGTAATTGTGAAAAAATACATGACGTCATAAGTAAAAATTTTATGCGATAAGGTAATTAATAGTAAGGTAATTAATAAAATTGACCTGTCCGAGCGTTTTGCTTGAAACCATTAAATAATACAATTATGAATTTTGTTTCTTACTTTATCACCACACTGCATGTATATTTAATATGAAGCTGTCATTTACTAGTATCAGATCACCTCTTGTAATCATGCTTGCTTCGTTTAGGGATCCATGTGATTTATAATATTTTTCGTAAGGAAATATGAGCCCAAATAATTAACTTATCTGCTTAATATTACAAATAGTTTCTCGTAAGTATTGAGAATATGGTAATGAAACAGATAAAATGTGTTTGCTAATCTGCAGAATTGTATTTTTATGTAATTAATTTACTTACAGCTATTGCATTATCTTTTATTCATGTAATTATACCTATAGCTTTGTATAAATAATTAAGAAATAAATAAATTATTATACAGAGTGCTCAATGTTTGATTTTTATAGCCAACCTGGATTTAACAAGAAACTGAACGGCATTGACATAATTAAAAAATAAAACTAAGTTTTGTATTTTTTAGCTGGCAGCCACTGTTACTACGCCCTTCGATGTTGTCAAAACCCACCAACAGATAGAATTTGGCGAAGGTACTTTATATTCTGGTGAGTCATATTGGTAGTTGGTTAAGTTTTGTAATGTTGTTTATTGGCTTGTTTTAGAAGGCGAAACTAAAAGGTCTCGATCGACCATGGAGGTAATCAGGGAGATACAACGGGAACACGGCTTCAGGGGACTGTTTACAGGACTGGCTCCTCGACTAATAAAAGTTGCACCGGCCTGTGCTATTATGATATCGACATTCGAATACGGAAAAGTATTTTTCAAAAGGTTAATACCCGGTTAATGAAACACACCTTGTAAAAGTGACTAAATGATTTTTTGCAGATTAGTTTATCAACAGATTGACGCTCCATTTAGTGCATCAGATTTCCAGGCGTCTTCTAATCTTGTTCCTAGCAAAGAGGGATTTTGATGAAAGGGCTTATTGGCTTTTCATTTAATTTGACTATTTTTGCAACTATAAGTCTTATAAAACCGATTTTATTACCTGTTAACGTAATAAATGCGTTAAATTAAATTTGTTTGTTTACTGTGTTGGGAAGTGCATCAAAATTATTTTGTTTAGTTACAAAATTCATTTCTTTATGAGACTAATGATTCAACCAAAAATTTACTTTTAAAACAAAAAAATATATTCCCTCACAGGAGGAAATGATAAGAAATTCTTAAAATAAGTCCTATTTATAATAATTTTTTATCCTACAGTTATAAACTCAAAAATCCTTTCCTGCATTATAACAACATTGTAAGTATCCTCCAAATTTGACATTAAGGGGTAATTTTCTTTAAATTCGCATGTTTCATCGGCTGTCACTTGTCAATCAGATTTCGTTTGAAAACTATCGTTTGTTTTTGCGTCAACAATCACTTGTCACTACAAGTAGGTACTTTATGGAAGTTGCAATTTTATCAGATAATTATCATTGTAAATACATACAGTGCTAGCAAGAAACATTTTGGAGTGAATAGTAAAAACAACAAAGGAAAGGATGTAGTATCGACGTTGCCTTTTGCTGGTTGGTGGCTGGCTACTAATCGCGGACTCGTCCTGTAAATGGCAACTGTGATACTGTATCTACATGTTGGAACTCTATTTACTATTCACTCGGACACAAGTATAAAGTAGGGCCGAAGGTTTCATCTTGCCATCAGTGTATATAATCTAGTCTAAATCCCAAAGTGTTGTGATATAAGATTTTAGGAGAATGAAAATAAATATATATATTTTTTTTTAATTTAAACAAAATAATGCTTTGGTTTTAAGTATTCTGTAGTTTGTTATTGTTATTTTTTTAAATTTGATTGAAGTATTTTAATGTTATCTATTCCTTACGAAAATTATAATTGATCCTGTAAATAAGTACATTTTTTGATAAACATTTTTAATGCAATTTTAAATTTTCGTTTTATTTGAAGCAACATACTTTGTTATAGTGAAAATATATATATAAATTTTTATTTCATATAATTCTTCTTGCAATTGCAGAAAATAGTCTTGGACTGAAAATGTATTGCTGCTACAATTCTGGGGGAAATAGCTGAAATTAGTGCTGCGAGTACACATTTCTGGGATTTAACATGTTTTGTTTTATGTTAAAACTCGCCGAATGCAAGTAGCTCTCAAAATTTTAGAACCAGCGGTGCAAGGACCATTCACTGTATCAATCCCAAGAAGGCAGAAATGGTCCTTTTCATAAGGAAAGGGATGAAAATGGAACTAAAACCTCCAGAGCTCCTAAACACAAACTAAACTTTACAACAGACGTGAAGTTCCTAGGTCTCACCTTTGACGCAAATTAACATGGAACCCAGACCAAGAAAACAGTCAAAAGATCATACATTGCTTATGAACAATTCTAGCGAACCGTGGGACGCACCTGGGGTTTTTCTTCGGAGTCGTTACATGGACTTACATAGCCATCATACGAACTATTCTGAAAAACCCAACAATTGACAGATATCCGCAAATTAGAATAAATTCAAAGAACATCACGTCTGAACATAACGGGAGCTATTCTTAGTCTCACTCCCCTTGATATCCACATCAAGGAAGTTCCGCTGATGACAATTACACGACTCCGCGTGGTTGGAATAGAACCTGATATAGGATCTAGGGTGGCGAGATGTCACAATTGGCGGAAGGCGCTTAATGCACTTCCACAGTTTCAAGCGAACATGGACGCCATCTCACGGAGGGAAGACATAAAGTTATAACGAAACGAACAAAAAAAATTATTAAAACTAAACATAAAATGAGCTATGAGGGATAGTTCCAGTGTAGTTTAAACGGAACTCCCGGGGATTATTATAAACAATATCACTAGAAGGAACTTGCTCATCTATACAGATATCAAACAAGCACTAATCACTCTGGACAGACCATGTTTTTACTCAGGGTTAGTACTAGAATGTCACGAAGCTTTTCCAAAGTATCCATCAATAATTTGGTCACCTTAAGATGGATCAAAGGTCACGCCATATCGAAAGGTAACCGCCTTGCTGATTTACTAGCCAAGAAGGCACCAACCAAATACGTTTCGGATCTGACAACATCCGTAGTGACAAACCTAATTAAAGAACATTCCCAAAAAGCTGCAGAGTTTCTAGAAAGCTTTTAGGTAATCCTGGCAACACTACAGCACAAATTCTTGACTATGACTAGACATAATATGATCACATGTGTTCTGACTAGTCATTGCCAAGTAGGGAAGCATCTTTATATCATGGGGATGTCACTCTGCAGGAGTGCGAACACGAAAATCATCGAGCATATCCTCTACGATTGCCCGATGCTCCCATTGGAAATACTACTGTAGCAATTGGAACATTGTATAGGCAACCAAAAAGTATTTATCTACAATTTTTAGATAAAGTCGAAAATATGTTTTCACACATTTTTTCAGATTTTTATTATCCTATCTGTGTAAGCGATTTTAATTATAAATATGCTCGATATTGATAACTCCAACACAATTCGTTTTTGTGACATTGTTGAGGCATTTAACTTAACACAAATAATCAAGGAACATACAAGAGCATATACTTAATAATCACAAATATAGATTCAAAGGACCCCGCACTTTTTAGTAGAATGATTTCTACATTTAAGTAGGCTTAGAACGAGACTTGGTTAGATAAAAAGAGCTATGGTTATAATACGAGCAAAACTGAATTCGTTTCAAAACTTTCTACAATATTTTAGGTATACCAATTTTTTGTTAAATGCGTTTTTGTAATTCTTAGTTGTTTGTGTAGTTTTATCACACCCTGTATTACTTATAAAAATTATCTAATATGAAATAAAGAAATGGCCAGAAGTCATATTTTAACTATGGTAATACATGTAAAATGTACCATATTTCAGTAACTGATATTCCTAATTATTTGAACACGCTGTATAATTTATTTTGCAAAGTGTAAGTAAGTATTAAACTATTACAAGGGTAACACATGACATAAGTTTCATGGAAAAGACAAGAAATACTAAAGAGTGGTGGAGATATATTTGAAAATATTAATTCTGCACTCCTTACTTTTGAATCGTTCTAACAACTCACCCTGTAGAGCTGCCTACTTGAGGTCCATAAGAAAGTTGCCCCTAATGACCTGAAAAATAATATACTAAAATTTGAACAAATTCCGTCAGTACCCAAAATCAATGTAAAAAGTGCGGGGTCCTTTCTGCAATGATTCTGTTGATCACAATCTAGTTGCTGACCATTCAGCTATATTAATTGTAAATTTAACAATTTTTATATTAATATATATTTTAAGAAATTGAGTACTTTGAGTTACTTGTGCATTTACAAATTAATAAACCATTTACTGCAAATCCATCTATTGCTGGTATATATTCCCAACAGATACATATTAGGGTTGCCAGATTTACGAAAGGGAAAGGGGGGGACAACGGTAACGACAGGGGATCCGGTGAAAGTACCTAGTAATTTTATAAGACCCGGTCCTTTTTTTGTGAAGTTTCTGAAATGGTCCTCAGCGTATACTTTTATGAAAACCAGGTCCTTCTGCAGAGCTTCTAAAAGAAGATCCTCAGCCTGTATTGTCAATAAACCAAATCCTTCTGACGAGGTTATAAAAAAAGGTCTTTCCACAAATTTCTAAAGTTATCCAGATATTCCCGGGCATTTTCATTATGCGACCAGACACCGAACAAATAGTTAAAAACAGTCCGGGTGAAAACCGGTGCTATATTTTTATTAATTAACCAATTAAAAAAATTTAATTACTGTAGGAAGGTAAATTTATTTCAATACATAAACTAAATCTAAATATGTGTAAAAAATTCCTATTCATCTTTATTTCTATTGATAACATACAAATAGTCCGTTCCTGTGCCAAATACTTTCTCCAAAATAATATTCAACAGCTCGATCATCTCCTCCTTGAAAGGGCTGTCGACGCTATCCACTTTATCCACCCATACCTCGATTACTACCTCGTGAATTTCAACGTACACCGTAATTTTTTCCACGATCGATCCTACGGAATCTTCGTGCAGCAAAAATTCTTTCGGTACAGATCTCACGAGCTCCTCCAATAATTTGGTCAATATTTCGTACGGGTTGTCTTTGACTAAGAACACGTCCTCTATGGTTTCTTCTAGAAGTTCTCGGGCGTATTTTATTATATTATCTTCGCTCATCTAGAATAATTAATAGAAAATAATAATCATCAGTTATTTTATTTTTTCTAGTTTATAATAAATCCAAGTAAATCCAAAGCTAATTATTTCGCATGTGTGCCATGAAATCTCAACTATTAAGCAATTATTTAGAAAATAAATGTCATTTTATTTTATAAATTATAAAATCAATTTAAAAATAGCAGCATGTTATAGCCATAGAAAAAGAATAGTGTTAAACTCGCAAGGAATCCTCGATATACCTGTACTTCAATTATTAAGGAAAATAAAAGGGCTCTGCTATTCGCTCCGTGCGCGACAGCAGCGCCAATTTGTTTTGGTATTAAAGGAGTATTTCTGCCTATACTGACAAATACAATTTTTAATAGAATTCGTAAATAAAAAGTATATATGTTAGTTTTAATAAAAGTATATGGATTTATAAAACAATTAAAACATTAATTTATTATTATTATATATTTTTCACGCTTAAATTGAAGAAAATTATGTATAATCATTAAAAATCAATAATAAAATATAGGCAGGCAACAGTATTTACTGGAAAATGTATGAGAAGTTGCCTAAGTCTAATAAGTTGTCATTCAAGAAACCATTTATAATAGCGTGAAGTTAAAATGTATAAAAAGGATCGCTACTTATATTTTCATTTTTGTTCTAAAGAAAACATAGAATGAATGATTAAAACTGGTTTCCGATCAGTAAGTCACGAAATTGCATACCAGCCAAATATTATAATCAACGGCAGAAATCTTGAAATCTAGTCCTTGCTGAATGAACATTTAAGAATAAAGGGATATTAAAGAACATCGTAAAATGATAATTTATTGTTTATTTAAAAACTTTCTAGTTTCTGATGTCTACTATTTCCAGCATTACTGTTATTATCACAAAAATAAAGGTAATTTTTCTTCTTATTGTACACCTATCCATTTATTTCTTTGATTTAATTTCCACTTTGTTAGTGAAATTTGTTATATAAGTTTCACTGTTTTTTTTTTGCTAGTATTTGTACAATTTTCAACACAGCAACTCCGGTTGCTTATTGTGTTGTTTTTACCTACTTTTTTGAAAAAAAGTAAAATGTATACGTGTATTTGATATGCCAAAATTACAAAATATCCCCCTAAAATGCACGAATTATCCGCAGCTAGCGCTAGTATCGCTTTTGCTTCCCTTTCCATGACTTCGCACGGAGCGAATACCCTCTAGCCAGACAGCACACCAAATCCTTTGAATATCTACTGAACATCCTAATATCCACTGAATGTCTAGTCCATGGTAGATATCTATTTTATATCCATGAAATGTAATTTATAGACATGCAAATGTCCATAAATAATAGTAATTATATAGCAAATTATTAAAAAATTACGCCATTGTGCTCGCCATTGTGGCTAATAGTACCGTTCAGATATTTACAATTAATTTTTTTAAGGTGTATTCAATATCCAATGAACATCCACTAGATATATCAAAGTCTAGGCGCGAACGCAAACCATCGTGGATATCCACTAGATGTTATTTGATTCTGCTTACTAAGTATAGATGGCGATACCACTATCGCATCTACTCATGCTCGACCCGCCGTAATTGAGTTCGATCGAAATGTGTGTCTTAATAACTCCATTAGAGACTGGAGTCGAGAATTTTCATTTATTGCTGAAGAGTCCTAATAAGGATGACTTTCTCCTTAGTGGGCAAAATCAAAGGCAGAGTGTTGAAAATATTTTTTATCTCTGCTATTTTCTTTCGACGTTATTCAATAACCATTGGTTATTTATGAACCTCTACTAAAGATACCCATAAAATATTTTGCTGAATATCCGAATATCTTCTATATCCTGGGATATAGACGGACATTTGGTTGGATATTCATATTGGATATATTGAATATCCACAAAATATATTCTGTGGATATCTCTGTGATTTCTTGTATTTTGTGGAAGATACCCATTAGATATTTTGCTGAATATCCATTAGAATATCCTGGATATAGACGGACATTTGGATATCCATATTAGATCCACGGAATATTTCTGATATCCTGTGGATATATTGGATATCCACAAAAGATATTCTGTGGATATCTCTGGGATTTGGTGTGTTGTCTGGGCTGTAGACAAACCGAAATGGAGACGCTATTTCAGTATAGTTTTAAAATGAGTTTTTAAATTCCTATTTACTGTCAATGCCAGGAATAAGAAAACCATCAAACTAAGGGCCGATATTTTCACCTCTGAGTAACTTTACATGTAGATTTACTTGATAGATTTACAAACAATAGCCTTACAGTTTAATCAGCAAGTAGTTACTTTCAACTTTAAACTAAAAAACCAAAAAAAGTAGATACATAAAATCTACAAAGTTCTGCAGAAATTAGTTATAAAAATTAAGTAGACTTCGTTTCTGGAGTAGCGAGTTTATATTTTCGATTAATATATTATTATCGATTAATCTATTATTTTTAGTTAATTGGATTATTTTCAGTTAATTGGATTATTTTCGATTAATCGAATATTTTCGATTTTTCAAAGACAATTTTTATATTAGATTTCGATTAATCGATTAATTAAAATAATCTAATGATGGTTTAATCAAATCCACTATAAAAAAATATACAAAAAAATGTTCCCTCTAATGAGCATCAACTTTCTTTCAAAATTATGTTAAAATTTTTGTTCATTTTTTTGTTTCGAATATTTTCTTCGATTAATCGAAAATCTTAAATAATCGAAATGATCGATTAATTTAAATAATCGATTAAACGAAAATAATCGAAAGCAATAAAAATAAACAAAAACTAAAATTTTAATATAATTTTCAAAGAAAGTTGTGGCCCACAACACATTTTGTATTAGATTGAGAGAAAATTATTTTTTTATGTTTCCTTTCAAGTGGTTTATTCGATTAAACGATTATTAGATTATTTTAATTATTTGAAAATAATCCGAATAATCGAAAATATTCAATTAATTAAAAATAATCGATTAATAAAAAATAATTAATTAATGAAAAATAATCGAAAATAGTCGATAATCGATTAATAATGATCATTCTGTCCACCCCTATTACTTATATGCCGACGCAAAATAGTAGTTTGTGCAACAAGACGAAAATTGAGCATGATGCTGTAGGCGGAGTGCTCAGTCGTCTGAGAGAGATGTGGACAATCCACTCGAGTTGTACAGAATATTTTTTCTACGACCCACCAACAAAAATTTACAAATAAAAAAAAACTAATTTTAAAATAATTTATGACTTTTCATACTTTTTAAAATAAAATAAATCAGAAAAAAAGGAAATTCATTTTTCCCCATCCGAGAATCGAACTCGAGTCTTCCGTGTGGAAGGCAAGAACACTGATAACAGGATCACCTATTCTTTTATTTTTGTTGCTTTAATTCTCGTAATTACATTGACTTCATATAGTTTTATATAAATTAACAAATTATTTATAATTATAGACGAAATAAAAACAAAAATGCTATTATTTATCGATTCTACACAAGAATAACTCATTTAATCTCAATAACTAAAAAATATAGTGACAATTGTTTGACAGAATTGTCACTTATTTAAAATTTTAAAAATAATAGCAGTCAGTTCATCAAAATATAAACGGTGATTGGATTTAATTTTTTGCAGTGTTCTTACTACCTAGAATGGATATGAATTATATTCGTTCAGTTGAAGGCAATAGCATACTTTTTCGTTTTGTAATCTGTGCGTAGATAAGCTAATATCCATGTGAGCGTAGAAGAAATATGTAGCAACCAAGGTTGAATAAAATCTATTGATGAAAACTGCATGTTTATAACTCTTTTTTTGTTTACGATGCATTTTAAAAATTACCAATACCATTTGTGAAATGCAAAAAAAAAATATTATCATCTCGCTATTTGGGTACTTACATCCGGTTCTTGTATAGCATGTAATTTCTCCGCCGAAGTTTGAACCAAACTACGTTGCTTTGACGACAGCTCAAAAGGAATATTAGCGATGATTTCCTTCATTAGATCTTGCATAGATACGCAATTCATGATGTTGTTCAAAATATTTCTGATGATCTGTCCCCTATCGATTTCCGCTTGTGATTTCAATTTCATGCCGCCTATTAATTCGTCCAACATGGCGGCTATGATGTCCTCGCTTTCCGCCAAGAAACTGTAAATTAAAAACATAAGGTTTCCAATTAATAGCTTGACCAAAAAGAGGACAATAATAATAAGACAAAAAATTGATTTAGATAAAACTTTTATCCGCTTTTTTTGAAACATCTTAACAAATATTCAAAATGTTGTTTTTAAAGCTGAAAGAAATGTCCTCATTTTGTTAAAGTATACTTGGATTTTAATTATCGTTTCTATGGCATTATTTTTGCTGTATAGAGAAAAATCTATTTGCTAAAGTAGTAATTTTTACTTATATCGAGAGGTTGTTGAGTTTAGACTAATAGCGTCTTCGATTCCACTGCCCTGCCTGCGTGGAGTGCACATAAAAGATGAGCGATATATCGATACTGAAACGCGACGCCCCTGGGTCTGATATTTTTTTATTCTTTTCTTTAAATAGTTTGTTGCGTTGTTCGAGGATATATCAATCACTTTCTATTTGGCACGTCTTTTGTTCATCTAGTGTAAATTGTTAGAAGGCAAATTCTAACTCAGAGGGCGGTCCGGGAGCCGTATATTGTTCGGGCTGTTTTTCGGGGTATAATGTTACGTGAAAGTTGAGTAGGCCCGCTACTCAACCTTTCTCTGTCTTATGCATTGACTAAATGGGAAAATTAAAGTATAAATACGGGGTCCAAAAGTAAGAATTGGGTTAGAATTCTTCCTGCCTTTCTCACGTCCAGTTGACAAAAAAAGTGTAAGATTCAGTTATCTATAAGGTGACTCCCTTCTATATACTCTTCAAGTATATCGATTGGTTTATCCCGTTTAACTATAAGGTGACAGCTTTTTTTGTTATATTTGGAAAACGCAGTAAAAGATATCGAGGGAGCAGATAAATTATTTTCTGTATGAAACGACTTCTGTTGCGCTATACACCGTTACCTTTAAGGTGACTTCTTTCGTTATACATTTGTATATCGAGAGGTAGTTATGTGTTACCTATCAGGTGACCAAACAGACGGACGTTTTAAAAGAGCTTAATTTCTCTCTCTTCTAAGGGTTTTGTAGGATTGTATTTCCGAGTTATTGTATTCTTTGCGTGACTTGTCTTGGTGAACCGTTGCCTATGGTGACGACGCCGGATAAAGAAATAGCGAGTTTTTTTAGTACCTCTGATCCAATCGTATAAATCTTGTGGAAAACGACTAAAAGTATTGCGATTGCGTTCTTCTTTTGTCGACGATATCTTTTTCTTTGTTGTGTGGATCCCCGTACGTAGATTTTAGCGATAATTGTATCTTCTTTTAGACGTTACGATTATCGGTTTTAATCGCGGAAACGCCGTTTTAGAACATATTTCGAGATCAGCGTTTTCGACGCACATTCCTACCAAGTGGCCTTTGTTTAGTAGTCATGTATACCGCCGGGGGAGAGCCGTTATTGCAGCGTGGTTTTGTTACAGGTATCATTTTGTAATTAATTATGTGTTTAAAAAGGGAACAATTCCTATTTGTGGTAAAATTTAGTAAATAGTAATTACTAAGTTATGTGGGTACTTTTTTTCATTTCATTGTCAGGGCATTTCATTTTATTTCATAGGGCAATAATTAATAATTAGAATTACGGTCATAAAAATCAATTATTTTAAATCCAGCCACAACAACTAATAAACTAAGCCCTTCTGGTTTATGATCATAAGAATCAAGTGTCAAAGCCCTTTATTATTTTAGGGTTTGGGAAACCAATAACCTGCTTTTGTGGCTATAAATTGTCGTCTTTTGCATTTATTTAGATGGTAGACAGATGTTTAAATTGTATTACATTTATTTGTCGAGTCCTATTGTTAAGTAAATTACGGTAATAATATTTTCTTTCATTCTGTATGATGCAAAAGTGGGTAAAGTCATGTCTTATTTCTAAACGTTGATAATTTACTTTCTTGGGTTCTTTTTAAGATTGAATATGTACAGAGGCGGGTAACAATATAATTTTTGGTATTATGTTTGGGTAAACGGACATATTAGGCTCATCTGGGCATCACTTTATCACATATGTTATAGAACTCCGGTATAATTGTTATCCTTTTAGAAAAATGATGTGAGATTGAGGTGGGACTACAGCTTGTGGTTTCGGAACTGTCATTTATAGCATTGATTTGTCGGTAATTAGAACAAAAGAGCCTTGCGCCGAAAAAGAGCCTTCAGCCACCCATAGTACGTGTAAAACCTCAATAGTAGGGCCTAAAAATGGTACATTTTCTCACGTCTGTGGAAATAAAAGCCTGATAGAGGCTAGGATGGATCTTAAGAAAAGATACCCCAAAAGTGGGCCTAACGGGCATCCCCCTTTATATCAGGTGTTCTGTTGTCGTACAGGTCTATATGCAGTACTGAGCACAATCGTAAAATACGGTATTGAGATATCAGTGGAAAGGTGTTACGCAAGATGAGGTTAAACTTCTTATTTACATAATTATATCCATATTCATATCGCGCCATACTCTTCGTGATACCGCTGAACTTTACTATATCAGACAATACGTATGCAGGTATTATATTATCAGTGTGTATGATTGTGTATTATAAAGGGATAACAAATATGCTGTAGTACTGTCATCATACTTTCACCGGTTTATGGGAGCTTAATATTCCTTCGGTTAGAAGTGAGACATGGAAAAGGCCACACATGTGTTATGTTAAACTAAACAAACATTATTGTCAACTTCCCGCTATAAGAAATAAGTTTCAATAAAACTATTCTTAATCAATTTTTGTGTTTGTTTTTTTGTTGCTCCATTACAGCTACATTGAACTCTAAGCGAAATTTTGGGGTCCTACAAAAATCACTTCGTGGGTATCTACTAGACGAAATTTAGGCCAAGGTTATAAATATTTGTAAAACTAAGTTAGGACCCGGTTTGTCAGGCTACAATACCGGTTACATTTCAGATTGAAAAGTAACTGGTATTGACATATCTCCCACCTTTCGTATGCACTCATTGCAAGCTGTGAAGTAGATTCAAAGACGCTATTAGTAAAAATTCACACGAAATCCATAAAACCCTGTATCTAGGTGATATATGATGCTAAACCATTTAATGATGGATAATTTCGAATCATTCAAGTAAGCAAGTATCCCACACATTTTTAAGGTATGTACATTTTACATATATAGGTTAAAGCTAGACCCCAAAAGAAGAACTGACGACCGATGAAGAACTTTGTTGGCATAGCTAAATACCTCAATACGTTAAATTAAATGGATTAAAGGGATCAAATCTAGGCCCGTTGATGTTTAACATTTTCGTGAATGACATCGTGGATGTAGTTGATGTTGATTATTTAATTTACGCCGACGACTTTAAATTTTACATAGCAATTAAGAACGTCGCGGATTGTGAAAGGCTAAGTGAAAATCTTCTGAGAGTTATCGAATGGTGTCGGGAAAATAACCCTTAATTTGAATCCCTGGAAGTGAAATGTCATGTCTTATTCACTAAGCTCTGATCCAATTACTTACAATTACCGTATAGGCAATATGCAGACCGAATAATTTTGTGGATTTGGTCGTTACTTTTGATTCAGCACTATCCTTCAATGACCACATTGACGGTATATTAACTGCAGCAAGCCGCATGTACGTTAAAGTATCTTTGTTATGCGTTTATCCGCTCAAAGCTTGAATAAGCTTCGGTTATATGGAGTCCCAGTTACCAGGTACACGTTACCAGGTTAGAGGCTCTTCAAAGACGGTTTCTCAAATATTTAAGTTTCCAAGAAGACCAAGTGTATCCTCCAATTGGCACCCTACATAACGAACTGTTAGTAAGACATAGTTGTTTGAGTCTTGAAGCAAGGCGCAGTATTTTTCAGTGGTTACACTGCACAAAGTCATAACCAACAAAATAAATTGTAAAGACCTGCTGCATATGTTAAATTTTATTATATGTCATGTGTAGTAATTGCAACAGCATTAACTCTGAATTGGATATATTTAACATTAAAATTTTGGACATAAAACATTTGCTTTTGTGGTTATTTTATCGTTTCAAATGAATTTTCAAATAATCTGTTTTGTCATATTTTACCTGTTCTTTAATTGGGAATTTCCTTTGTAAAAATAAAATAAAAAAAAAATAAATAAAACAAATATATTGGAAGTGAGAAGTGACTACTGTGAATACCTTGGCAATGATTATTTTATCTTATTTGTACAGTGCTGGTCATGTATTTATATTATTTATTTTATACATTCTTCATAAAATGCGAAACTGGAACTAGAACTGGATTGAATCACCCCAAATATGGTAAGAAGCGATTGCAATTCTATAGGAAAAGCGTCCACCTTCCTTTCACTCTTACTTACGTTTCTGACGACTCGGTTTCGTGCAGCAAGCCGAATTTAGGAGATTTATCTTCCTCGAACTCCTCCTCTTCCGTTATAGATTCGTGTTGCTTCAAATAATTTTCGATTTCTTCCGGCCACTCTCGTTCCGATTCTATATCGAGTATTTTTTCTTGCATTTGTTTCATCTTCTTCGCTTCGCGTTCTCTCGTTTTGACTTCTTCGTAATCGTCTTTCACCGGCAGTCCTGCGGAATCAAAGTTTTCAATTGTAAGTGATAAAAATTTCGCGGCCACTATTATTTAGAAAAATAACGTTTAATAGAGAACGGGGCGGTGCGCAGCATTTTTATATAAATATACTGTATGCTGTCGCAGAAGTTAAAAGTCGAGACGTAGTTGAAGATAGACATTCTAGTTGTTATATAAATTAGATTATACGTGCTAAATATAAATAATGCTTAAGTATAAATTAATTAATTAGTATTTAGTGTAATTAAATTATAAATATTAAACTGTTTTAAATAAATAAACATTACATTGGTAATATAAGTCGAGATACAGTAAATAGTGAGTAAAAATGGTTGATTTAAAAGTGGCTGTGTTAAGTCGAGAGTTAGGAGAACGTGAACTGGAGACGACAGGGAAGAAAGCAAAACTAACAGAATGTCTAAAAAGAGCAATAGAACGTGGGGGTTTGAATCTGAAAACGTGTCTATTTTCGGATGATGCGTCTATAATTTCGGAGAGTAAGATCTCTCTCTTAAAATCCGATATGACTTCTTTGAAATTACTATTAAAGTTTCTTCCCTGAAAATAAAATTACTTCTGACATTTCTTCTTTAGAAAACAAAGCCTCTTCTGAAATATCTTCTTTAAAAGATGAAATTTCTTCCTACTTGTATAGCAAAATATTTTCTATGGAAAATAAAATTTCGTCTGAATTTTTGACGAAAAGATGTCTTGGACTAATTACCTGAAACAGTTCGAAACAGCTGTCAAAGCCATTGAATAATCTGAATGGGAAAATCCAGTAAATTTGACCATCGCTCTTCGAGGAGATGCTGTAGATGTTCTTCAGACTATACTGGTGGAAGAGACAAATGACTTTGAACAACTTAAAAAGAGACTTAACGTGCGATAAGGTAACGAACACTTGGAGAATTTGTACCATTACAGTTAAAGTATCGCAAACAGAAACAAGGCCCTCTTGGCAGTTGTGAAGTGCGTGGAACACTTCTACCAATATGAAAGGAAATTATAAATTCGTAGCGATCATGAAGCATTCTAAGGGGTTATGATGGACAAATAATGTTATTTTTAACGTTATTTGTGAACAGGTTGTAATTTCTATGTGTTTATAAAATAACAGACCTGTTAAAAATAACGGAGGTTGTCAATCATAACCCCCTAAGTGGCTGATGCAGTTCAAGAACCCAGAGAGTCAAATCGCCAGATGAATTGAACTACTTCAAGAGTACGGCTTTAAGATCGAACATCGAGGAGGAATAAGTTACAGAAATGCCAATTTTTTTTTCTAGAAAATCGTGCCCAGAATTCAAAGAAAGTGAACTAGTCAACGATGAGTGGGCCCCTGCCAAGATTAGGGAATTAATAAGAGAACGACTTCGTTTTAAAGATGTGAAAATGGAAAAAGGAAAATCGTTAGCCCACTTGTCAAGAAGTATCAAAACTTTCTCCAGTGGTTGAGTCATATTTGGTATAATGGAACTCTTTTATCCTGAAAGAAGGAAACGACTACTCACAAAATGATCATAGTTCTGAAATCAGAAAACAGTTGGTCATTCCAGAGACTAGAGTAGCCGAAGTCAGTTATACTATAGTCCATCAAGAGGTTATCTCGGTGTTAAGAAACCCCTTGAGAGAATTCATGAAAGTTTGTATTGGATAACCAGTTCCGATAACGTAAAGGACTAGTGTGAGAGGATTTTCTTAGATATTGCAGGATTATTCTCCATGACCGAGAATGGTAATAAATAGATGATGATGGTTATGAATTATTTTACGAAGTGGGTGGAAGTCTATGCAATTTTAAATCAAGATGCCGCAAATATTGCAGACGTGTTGATAAGAGTTTATAAGTCGAGTTGGAGTGACCTTGAAGATCCACAGTGACCAAGGCAGAAATTTTGAAAGCTAGCTCTTCCAAGAAATATGTGACAGACTAGGCATGAAGAAAACCAGAACTGCAGCGTTCACCCTCAGTGGGATGGAATGGTAGAGCGAATGAATAAGACCATTGGCAAATACGGTACCTGTCAAAAGTGATTTCGAACCAGCAACAGGATTGGGATCAGTACCTTTCTCTCTTCGCAATAATCTATAGATCAGCTGTCAATGAATTTACAGGTCAAACACCAGCAAAGATCCTGTTCGGGAGTAAAATGAGACTACCATGCGACTTATATTCTTACTCAACACTAAACTGTCACATACCTTTAGTTTTGAGCCTTTTGATCTCTGCTCTAAGCTCAAACATAGTCCGGTTTTGATTCTCCAAAATGGCCTCTAATTTTTTTACGTCTTTGTTGTATTCGGCTGTAGTTTGAAGAACCTTTTCCAAATTTTCCCTGCGCTTGGGCTGCGACGAAATCACTTTAACCAACTCCTTTTTCTCTTTGTTCATGACTTGAAGCAGCTCCAGACGGTTCGTGTTCTCTCTCACGCACTTGATCAGCGTATCTTGAGCATGGCGAATTCTTTCCTTAAAAGCAAATATCGAACATATAAAAAGATAGACAAGCACACTTTTATCTTCTTTTTTAATATTGCTCCCTCCTCCCCTTTCCCTTTCTGAATCCTCCACCTTTCTTTTAATTAGTACGATAAATGAAGAGCAAAATTTAAATAATAATAATGATGTATAACTTTTCATACTTTAATGTCCAGTATTTGCACCCCGTATGCTTCAGTTATATTGGTATTTTTGACTCGAATTTCGTAGACCAACTTCTTCAAAACGACCTCTTCCAATTCGTTGATGTACGTCTTATTGAACGTCTTCTTCTTCAACGCCTGTTCCAACTCTTTCACTTCGACGGCTTTGCCGAATTTTTCGTACATCATCAATTGGATTTGCTGCAAGAAGCGTTTGATTTTTTGACGCATGTAAGCCAGATCTCTCTTCATGCGCAACAGATGTTTTAAGTAAGTTCTAAAAAAAATAGAAACCATAAGATAATTTATAATAATTTAATAATGTTTGAAATCTGAAAAAATACCATTAACTAACTCGAGTTATATATTGTAAACATAATAGACTCTTTTATGTTATAATTAGATTATCTTTGCTTAGTAATCATTTTTAGTTTATAAATAGGAGTAAAACCTTATTATTATTGTGATTTGAGGTAACTTTAGTGTAGGCTTTAGTCCAGAGTTGTCTTGAATGTCAATTTAGGTGTATTTTTACTCAATTAAATTTTTTTAAATAAAAGTTTCGTTTTGGAATTTATAACTGGCGCAGTCAGTAGGATACACGCGATTCAAGAAAAAGTTTGTTGTTACCGAATATTAACTTTTCGTGACTTTGGAGCTTTAATTCTTTAGGTGTGGTTCCTAACGAAGAATTGGGGGAGGTTAGCCCGTAGAAGAATCGTCGATTCGACATCGTCCCATGGTGGGACATCCGAAATGACAATTAGAAAACAATTGTAAGTACCAAATATCCTTTAATTTCTCTTTCCTATAGTTTAGAGGTATTAAAAAGATCATAGGCGCCGATTCCCCGGGGAGCACCCATAGCACAACGTAGACAAAAAGTGTCAATAAGTGAAATGAAGAAGCTGTCGTTGGTATATCGACAGGATGCCTCGATAAAATATTATCGTTCGGAGCTGTATTTCTTGTGATTAAAAAGTCGGCGCGACTTGTTATAGACAGCGCGTTGAACTTGGACTTAAGGGTTTATTATTCTTGGTGTATAAAACCCTATAACGTCAGAAAAGAACGACTTATAACAGTCTACAATTATCAAGACAAGAGCTCTGTAAATATGCTAATGAGCGAATGCTTGATGGTAGAGAGGAGAACGTTTGAAAGTTGCTCCCGATCAAGCATAGTTAGAAGAAAACGTTTATTTAGAGTCAGAAACAGCTCTCTAGTAGTGCTGGCGAGAAACCAGAAAACGTTCGGACCCGTCAATTTTTGATTTTAGGGAGAAACATTTTTTTGCAGTTGCACCCCCTGAGCGGAAACCCTTTATCGGGAGTGAGACTCGCCAGTAAAATCTTAAATGGAAAGATAGCTCAAATGATATCTTATTTCAAAGGTATTTTTACCTAGATAATACCCTCCAAGTTTTACATCGCTACTATCTATGTAGCCCATACAGTGATTCACCATAAGTACAAAACCGGTTTAAAATAATTTTTATTAAAAAAAAAAAATCGAATTCTTTGTAACAATTCTAATTTTATTCCGGTGGCTATCAATTATTATTATGAGATGACATTCTTTGGTCGCCGTAAAATAGTAAGGTTTAGTTTATTTCGTTGTAGAGTCGGCATAAAAGTGGCATATCAGTGAAAATTCCACACCTGTAATTTTGAACCAATCAAAATACGTGTTTTTGACAGATCACCATGGCAACGGAGGTATTTTAGTGGAAATTTTTTTCTCGTGGGGTACCCAACAGCGAATTATACTGGAAATTTTTTGACGTTTACAATAACAGACCATTTTTGACAGACTGGTTTTTATTTGTTCACATAATAGGTTTAGTTTTGATACATTTTAGTTACAATGCTAAGGTGTTTTCTATATTCTTCGGCCACTTCTTTTCTTCTTAATGGCGAAAATGCAGGACTTTGGATGCTTTGAATTATGTGTCTATGTCTAATAAAATATATATAATATTTAGACACTAATTTATTCACCTTTTTCCCATTCAGCACTTTGAATTTTGCGTAGTTTAGGTGCAAATATTCGTGGACAATTCGGAACAAATTTTCGTTTTTCAAGTTGGAGCCACAATCCTCTATTAATCCGAGTAAGTAAGTCATGGTGCAATAATTGATCATTAGATCAGACAATTTCACGCATATTTTGCATAGCGTATGATTTTCAAATCGATTCATTTTCAAACAAATAGGTAATTTTGTTGGTTTTACTTGCTGTGCAATATTCTTTATCGCAACAAAACGCGAGTTATTTAATGTTTTGAACTGTCAAAATACAATGATCACAGCCTCCTACGATTGATGCTTGCTGACGCTGGTTATGAATTTCATACCATTTTAAAGCGCTCATAACGCATTTTAATAAAAACGCAGAAAAACAATTTTCTACCACTTGTAGTTATTCAAAACTTACGTAAAATTAAAGAATATACTACTATTTTCTATTTCAAATGGTATTCCCATGCAACTACAATGAGTAGAAATAAGCAATTTGAAGGCCTAAATAATTGCAGCGAAACATTTTTTTACGTCGGGCCGCTTGACAACTTCAAAACTGAAATTATATTCGAGGTTAGGGTTTGGTTAGGGTCTCACTTAGTTACCATGACAACTCAACAATCAAGGCGACAACACCTTTTATGTTTCACTGGTGACTTGGAGAAAATAATTTGCATTGTTGAGAAACGAAAAATAAATTTTAAAATTATTTAATTTTCAACCATAATTCGGCGTGGAATTTTCTTACCGAATACCACGCGAGGTCAAATTAATATCAGGAAATTTTTTGGCGTCTAGTGGTATTACTAGTGATAATGGTTTACTCAATTGCTGAGCGGGTGGAAATAATTTCAATTTTTTTGCGAACAATGAATGTGCTAATAGAACTGCCCAACTGTTTAACAATCAACATCAAAATCGACAAGTCTATCAAAAGTATATTTTGGTGTTAGTCCAAAAATTTTGAGAAACGGGGTCAGTAGCTAACAAATAACGTGAAATGGAAAATGATGTAGTAAATGAAGCTACAGAGGTTGCAATTTAAGGGCATATTATTCAAGAACCCACATTGAGTACAAGACAGTTGGCAATAACATCTGATATTAAGAGAAGAAGCATTCAGAAGGTATTGAGAAAACACAAGTTTCATCCCTACAAAATACATCTAATAAAAGAACTTAACGAAGACGATTTTGATAGCCGATTACATTATTATGAAATTATGACTAAACAAGCAATAAATGATCAGCAATTTCTTTTCAAATGTGTTTTTTCAGATGAATGCACTTTTTTTCTAAATGGTACGGTAAATCGTAATAACTGTCGTTATAGATTCGATTCAAATCCCAGAATATTTCAGGAAGTGTAAACGCAACATCCGGAAAAACTAATAATGTTTGGGCTGGCATTTTTGGTAACTGTATAATTGGTCCCTTTTTTACCTGGAACTTTAACCGCAGAAATGTATCTAGAAATATTAGAAAACGCCATTTATCCAGCATTACTAGAATTGATTGAGAATGACGGTCAGTACATAGCAAACAACTTAATAGTCCAGCAAGACGGTGCGCCACTGTTCGTCAGTATTTGGATCAAACGTTTCCAGGTCAATGGATCGGAAGAAGAGGAAGTATTCTAAGCTCGTTAGATTTTTTATGGGGCCACTTAAAAACTAAAATTTATGCCACCCAGCCAACATCACTGGAAAATCTGCGACAACGAATAATTGATGAATGTCATCAAATCACCCCAAAGATGCTTTAAAATGTCCGAGAGCGTTTTAAACAAAACCTCTTTATTGCATGGAGGCCCAGGGTCAGTATTTCCAGTATTTACTCGAGTAAGTGGTAAGCTTTTACAGAAAATAAAAATCGTTTAAGAGGGTTCTATACCCTTCAGCTCCGTCAATTTCATACATAACCTCGAAATCCGCGTCCCTTACGTCTTCGCCATAATCCCCCCTCTTTTAAAGAAATTGTTAGGCAGCCTGAAATACATTTCTGTGTATTTGTGGTTGCATAGTCTACCAATTCTCGGATAACATCTAGACGTAGCATTTTCGACCGTTGATGACTGACAAAATTAGATTTGTATAATATATAACCGGTTTTTCTTTAATAATATTAACAGGGTTTCTAGTTTTTTGAGCTTATTTTGTTTATAATTACTTTTTATAGGTAAATGTATTATTTGTTTTAGTTTTTATTTTGGAAATTTAAGAGATAATCAGCACATTTTAAATTATTGAACAGTCTTCGTCCAATCTAATTATGCGGCCCCTAAACGCTCAATACAACACAAAGTGTGACGTAATCCAACCAGTTTTCTGCTGTCTTATTATTTGTACTTGCGGGAGTCCGATGTATTATGTAAAAAGATGATCGCCTAGAGAACAATGGTATATTTGTATTTATTTGTAATAAAGCTTTTCATAAAAAATAGTTTCATTCTGTTTATTATACCAATACGAAAAATAAAAATAATTTATAAAATTTATAATTTATCTACTTAGGAAGTAGAAAGTAAGTAAGTCTACTTAAGTTGCCTATAAATATATAAATCTTATCTAGGAGGATTTCTGATTTTCATATTCCTAGTATATCTTGGATCCACGAGTTCTGGTAACAGACATTTATGGTAAAATATTAGCAGTTTTTCCAACATCTTTGTTTCCCAAAAGTTATTATCTTTATTAATCTGTAACAGAAGACCATCCAAATGAACATGTAAAAATTCAATAGAAACATGTTATACTTTACCTTCTGCACCATCATACCAAGTGGAGACCATACTATAAAATAGCAATAGTCACGTTGCGTTATATGCAGTTGCCCCTGAATTTGATAAAAATAATTGCTATTTTCTTTCAGAAAAAGACAATCATTTTCATCAAGGTTGCAAAAATTTATTATTTTACTCCTAATGGCATCCTTAGGGTGTATTTGTGATGAAACCTTTGGGCATTTGATCTCAATAATGCCATCACATCCGATAAGGCCATCTGGACTGGCAGCAAACATACAATGTTCTATATCAACAAATAAGCCACATGCAGTGACTTTAAAAAATTCATTTTCGAATTGTTTTCTTGCTAGTGGTTCATGTTCTAAACCATATTTTGTTGAATCGTTTCCTCTAAAAGTTGAATACAACAAATTCTTAACTTTGGCCTCGCAAGAAGTACTTTGTCTCATTTTACATATATCTCCAAAGTGGGATGCAGTTAGACGCACACTTCTTGCTTGGTGCCACTCCG